TGCTCAGAGAGGATAGGAGAGATGCTTGAACTCCCGTCGTCCTCTGCCTCTTCGCCACTACACCACCCAGTGTTGGGCAGAAGAGAGGCCCAGAGGGAGCGCCTCAACAAAATTCTGCTGGATCTGCTGCACCGAACTCCCAACAAGAATGGTGAGGGACCGGGAACAAAGCAGGGGGGTAGGTCAACCGATACATTAGGGTTAAAGTTTCATATCACTTTCTGTGACGCATCATTTCAACATGTTATGATGATAACATGATAATCCTTTTTTTGTACTATTTCTGAATGTTCAAAGCTGGAGCAAGACACACTGTCCATTAGAAGGAGTGGGGGGATAAAGGCGAAGCAAACTACAGCTCAGATTTGGCTGTCATTCATATTTATGTTAAATTCTTGTTAGCATTCATCTGATGCTACATCATCAGATGGGAACCTCAGTTTTGCTTTGTCTCAGTCCCTTCCTCCCATGCAGTGTCTGTTGTTTCATAGCTGACAATATTATCAAAAAGTATCTAAATCCACACCAGCTTCTAACATTCAGTGGCTAACCTCAGTGTTTAAAGGATAAGTCTGGTGATGTGCTGTATTTTTCCTAAAGACCCAACAATGAATTGATCCTGCTAACGATTGTTGTCTGTGTAGCCAAAACCTGATACAGCTTATTCCTCTGTTCCATAGCCCTCCATTGTTGGTCCTTCATTACAATAAACATAGGCATCATTTATTTTGAGTCAATCCCAAATACACCGTTCTGCTCCCACAAGCTAGAGCACCAGAGAGTATAATCCACCACTGAAAATCGTCCCCAGCAGGACTGTTCACCGATGTTTGCTAAAAACCACAGTGGCCAGCTGTTTAAAGGAATTACCAAGCTTTTTTTATCTAAATTACTTTATTTTTATTTTTATTAATAGGTTTGGAGCTGAGTGCCACAGGGTCTTTCCCTTGGATTTGTTGCCAGCCTTATCCTGCAGCTGCTTCACAGTAAAATTCTTCCAAAGGCACCACATGCCCTGTAGTCAAGTGTAAAGCATCTGCAGGAAGCGCCTACTGATAAAGCAAGATATAAAGAAACAGATCAAATTTGACTTTTTAGTTGTGGTTTTAGTAATAAGAACAAGAATAAAGCAGCGTACCAAAACTTGGAATGCCGTGGAGTCTGTCTTGCGAAGGATAGACTCAAATTTGCAGCCTAGAATGACACCTGAACACACCTGTTAAAGTCTGATAGGGTATCGGAGAGCTACAGACATTTTTGGACACTTCCCAGGCTCGCTGTTATAAAGGAGGATGCCAACTCTGTCAGATTTTTTGAGCTTAAAGCATCATTAACAGAAGAGATTCCTTTGCCTTCCTTTACCTTTGCTGTTTCTTTAACCCTGTGAGTCAGCTGTTTCTGTCTAAGCTCCTAACCCCCCCCCCCTCTCTCTGTTCGTCCGACAGCCATAGATGTGACTTATCTTCTGGAGGAGGGCGCAGGGCGGCGGCTACGGCGGCGGACGCTCGGATTTGGTGATTTCGTGGGCAGAAAATAACATTATTAGGTGACTGTCAAGCACACTGCCTTTCACTTTTGTGAGCTAGGGCAGAAAATGGAGAGACAGCAAGAAGGGAAATGAGCATTGTTGGTTATCCAACCATTAAAGACCACAATGCGTCCCTGGGGGCCTCTTCCAGTTTACCTCTTCCAAGACTGTCATCTCAACTCTGAGAGGGTGGAGGGGGTTTGGAAGCGCTGACTCCATGAAAATTTCAGCTTTTCAAGTGTTCTCAAGGAGCACGAAGAAAGCTGACCCAGACACCTTGCTTATTTAAGTAGTTTGATGCAAAACAAAACGTAAAAAAAAGAACATAGGAGAAATACCCCGTGCACTTAAATTCATTGAATATTACAGACATGGGTAGATGAATTCCACTAGCAAGCATCAGAAATGAAACAGTGGTACTGAATAAGGATGGATGAGAGGGAGGGAGTCCTTTCAGTCAATGGCGATGTGAATGCTGGAGAATTGTTCCCCCTAGTGGCACCTAGTTGTAATGACAAAGTATAAGATGATGAGAGAAGATCTGCGCAGGGACCGTGGGGGAAAATGGAATAGGAGAAATGTAAGTTGAGCAGTGTGCTCAGATGCTGCTCATTAGAAAGCGAGAATGATTGTGGGTGGTGAACTGCACTTTTGGTACCATGGATATTGTGAAGCTCTGTGTAATGTATCTATAATGAAAACACACTAACACTCACAGTATTGGATGATGCAGTCTGGGAAAAAAAAAAAGCGAGTTAAAAAGTCTATTATCTTTTTCCTGTTATACTGTAGTAACTCATTTAGTGACAGAAGAGGCTGAGGGTGTGTTTGTTTTTAGAGTAAAGGGAGGGGAGGGAAGATTGAGTGTGCGCTTATGTCAGTCCAAGTGTCTTGTTGAGGTTATAATTTTAAATTTTTCTTGTGAGGCAGTCAGCTTCGCCCCTCTTTTTTGAAGTAACATGATTCACCAGCTTAACTAAATCAGGCGTGCGCGGGGACAACGGCTTTAACTGTAACGCCTTACACAGCCGTGCCCTCCGACTGCCTTGTGTGCGAGTGTGTGCGTGCGTGCACACTTATTGTGTGTCTGTACTCTGCCAGATTTCTTGAAGATATACCTTTTTAAAAAAAATGGAAAAAAAATTAAGGGCTCGATGGCAATTAACAGTTTTAAGAAAACTATGGAAAACAATACTTAACATGAAATGTATCGTGATGGTCATATTTTCTTATATTCTGTGAGACGGGTGGGGCGATGTATACTGTATATTGGGAGGGGAAGGGACTTAAGATCTTTTTTTGTTCCTGTTTGCCATGGAGAATGTTTTAAAAAGAAATTGTGATATTTGATGAGTTTTGTTTTTTTCCCCCCAATTGCCTCTGCTAAAAAGGGACAGCCTGCAATGTCCCAGTGCGGTTAACTGACAGAAAGGTGACGGGGATGAGACACTGACGGAGGGAGAGAGACGGAACAGGAAGCTGTACAGTGCCAAGTTATGTAAATATACAAACTTTACATTGAGGAGTGTCTCCAAAAGCAATATCTTGAAAATGGATTTTGTTTATTATTGTACTGTACAGGACTCAGCCCTAAATGTATTATGATTATTATAATAATGATAATATTATAATTTCTTCCGTTTGTATTACCATAAATGAAGACACATAAGCTCGGAGGAAAATGATTTTTTAATGTCCATAAAATCTCACCTTAATTGTCCCGACGACATCAAAACTTAAGCTGAGTTTTTCGTTGCCTATAATAAATTAATTTCATCTATGTACTGCATGAGCGAGAAGAATGTCAAACGGACAAAGAAGGCATTGGGACGTGACAGTGACTCAGCAACGACACCTTTGTCACTGAATTTTTGTTAATAATATTACTTTTAAGGAGAAATGTACTCCTTGTTTTTGCTGCAAAGTGTTGAACACTAAAAAAACAAACCAACATAAAAATGTTATGATATTTTTAAACGCTGACAGACACAAAAGTAAAACTGTCGGCCCAATGTCATGTTATTATTTTTGATTTTCTTTCAAATAGGAAATGGTTCAGTTTTGTGATAGCGGTCATTGTATGATGCTTGTACTTGTATTTGTGTGTTTTGTGTGATTCGTTTAGTTATTTTTAGACAATCACAAAATAAGATGCAAGCATTGTAAATGGCAGACTGGTGGACATTTTGTGATGTGTACAGTTTGTCAAAAAACTTCTTCCACTCGTTAAAAGTTTGTAATTATGATTCTTAAGTCATGAAAAATGCTGTTGGTTTTTACTTTTTTTGTTTTATATTTGTTTTTTGTTTGTTTGTTTGTTTTTTAATAAAAAGCACTACATTATTGTGAATACACTTTGAGTTGTCGGGCTTTTAATATTCTTTAGATAGATGCAAAAATGTTGCTACATGTCCAACTTCCCTGTTGGCGCTCTGCTAGTTTATCACTGATCTGGTTTAAGTTATAACATGTATATATCTTCTTTGAACTGTTAAAGACATGAAATTAAGGTTTGACCGAAGACAGTGAGCTCTGCAAACATTATGCAGGAATGGAAAGAGTCCTGCTAATGTGATACTGTTGGTAAAGAGAAGAAAGGAATTCTCAAAGGATAATCACACTGAACATAGTTTTCACTATGACTACAATTGAAGTGTGGACTGCATTTTAGAGAGGCTTATCTATCACAGCAGCTATGAAGCTCCCAAGGTAAAAGAAGTGTTTCAGGCACAAACACCTTTTGAGACACAATACAGTTTAATGGATGATGAATTGATAATTTAGCTCATATAGCCTCTGTACCAGTACCAGAAGCAAGACGTAGAAGCAGAGTGAAGTCATATTCCTATCTTTTCATATTGTGTGCTTGTGATTACTGTTACGGCTGCTCTACTGAAAGGTCAGGGCCGTATTAAATGAAAATCTAATCTCCATGATGAGGAATGAGTAAACCTCCCCCTTCACAATCACCCAACTCCTTTTGCTGCTCCTGCTCTGTTTTGAGCATGGAAAAATAAAAATGTCCCAGTTTTAGTCTTAGTGCTACCTTACAGATGGTACAAACAATAAAAAAATACCCTCAATTCAAACCACAATGGACAATCAACATAAATTTAAAAAACTGATTCAAGTGAGCCATGTCATCCACGGATATATATAGTCTTATAATGTCTAGGCTGAAAGGAATAGTTTTATAGGGAATGTGTGCTTTCTCATGGTTCTGCCCTTTTAACTAACTCTCGCGATATTACAGAAGTTAGAAATGAATGCGGTAAATGACATGCTACTATGGATGTTGATATTCTCAGCACTATTATTTGCGTAAAAGCCATATAACTACTAAAAATAATTTCCAACAAATCTTCACTAACGATCATTTTCAAATATACCAAGAGCGAAAGGTATCAAGCTCCAAGTACCAGAAGTCTCGCGATGAACCCATGTGAGGTAGGAGCGAGAGTTGGTTATCATAGTAACGCCAAAGACGCCCTGGGGTTCATTTTGCGGCTTTAGCTCATTTATCTGATGATTTAACTTGCTATATTTCGATTTATAGACGCAACAATGTCTAGAAAGAGACAAAAAGAGAAAACAGAAAAGGCGAATACTGAGGAAGAGGCCTCGAAAAATGCAAGTTTAATGATAAGTGAGTCTTTCATCAGCAGCTCGGGAACGTACGACTGTTATAGACGTTAGCGTTATAGTTTGCTGTGAAAACTTTTTAGTCTGTAAATTATAAAATGTAGACTTTCAATGATATAGTAATACACAAGTAGTGTTGTATTTATATATTTGAAAACAGCTTTAAATATCACCTCTTAAATATTTGAAGAAGTATTAAGAGCAACTTAGTTAATAGGCTAACGTTACCACACTATAAAAATATGCCATTATGAGTCCAGCATTCAATATTAATTTATGTAGCCAACAAAACAAATTGTATGAGCAGCAAAATGTATTTAACACAGTATCAAAAGTAAAAGTACTCAGTGGGTCCCAATAAGAATATTTCCCTTTCAAATGTAGTGAAGCAGAAATACTCAAGTACCTCAAAATTGTACTTCATTGCAATGCATAGTAAATGTCGTTACTTTCCAACTGGAAATAAGTAATAATTTAAAAAAAATAATATTTAGATAAGTCATTTTACATTACTACATGAATAATCATCCTAAGATGGCATGAGCCATACTCAACAGCTTTACTCACATCATTATAACAGCAGACTGGACCGAACTATAACCCTGCATGTGCTGGGCAGATGCAGGGAAACAGGAAAACACTGGATTGTATTTAAAGAATCTTAATAGATATCAGGAATGAAGTACCATTTTCAATCACTAGCTTTTTTGTAACAAGTGTATATGAGAACTTCCACTTTTGTAGTTTATGTAAGTGGTTTATAAAAAGAGGTACTGCTCTGTGGGAATCAACTGGCCTATCTGTTGTTTTTAGGACAGACTCCAAATGACAAATTGCCTGCTCAGACCTTTGGTAAGTTACATTATCAGACTGTCTTTGGTAACAGATGAGCGTTGTATGTCCAATGACTTAAACCTACTATCCCACAGATGAATATCAGTGTTCAGGCAATGTGGAGATTGACTTCCCTGGTCTTTGTGCTCTTCTGGACATGAAGGATATCCCAGCTGTCATCACCAAACAACCAGCCTCCTCCACTGCTGAAACTGAAGGAGGAGACACGGGTAAACAATCTGAACAGCTTTGCAGAGAACAAAGGGACAGGCAGAGACATACTATTATCTTGTTGTATGCTGAATAAGATACTTGTTTATTTTCTATTATTGATTTTTCAGAGACAGGACTTGTTAAATGCAGCTGATGTCTTAAACTCAGAGGCCTTTAGTTGTATTATCATTGACGTAATTCTGTAATAATTATAGTTTGAAGGTACTTTCATTGAATCTCATCTGATTTTCTGAACATAAAGACATTGAATGAGTAATTTAGAAATATAAACCAAAGAAAATCTGATGACCTAGGAACATTCTGTACCCTGGAAATACTTTACTGTTCTCTAGATCATTGTATACGAAGTCTGAATGTGCAGTAATTGTCCTTTTTATAATCTCAACTTTAGTTCTCTTATAATTATCATAATTCTACCTTCAGAAGACACCCAGTCACAGACAAATGCTGCACCTTTGTGGTCTAAACCATGCCTCCAAGTGGAGCTGGAGACCGAAGACCCCCTCAGCACAAAGAGCCTGAAAGCTTCTGGTAGGAACAAAATACCACAGAGAAATATTTACAGCCATATTTGTCTCTGGTTTGACATTTTTTTCTTTTTACGTTCTCATTTGACTTCCTGAGCCATCTGCAACCATCAGGTTGGTAATGTCATTCGGTATTTCTGCTGAATGTTGGCAATGTTGATAATAATATTTGTCTCATATATACACAGGATGGAAGGTAGATGAGCAGATTGCCAGAGTGCTACAGAAGATGCTTCCCTCCTTGAACAAGCTACAAAACCTTCAGTGAGTAATACAGTTTTTTACAACTGCTTACACACAAAATCTTTACATGTCACACAATTTTTGAAACCTCTCACTCAAAGAGCAAATCCTCTTCTAAAATCTCCAAAACCATTAGCTATTTCTCAGCCTTTCTCTCAGTTTTCAATTGCATAAAACACTTTTGTCAATTCTCTACCTAAACATCTAAAAGGAAGTGACCTGCTTTCCTTTTCCAAACACAACTAATGAAAATGCTACGCTTATTCACCAGGTCACACAGCCACTCCTCACATGTGGAAACTGCTTTACTGATCGCTTACCTGCTTTAGTATACAGGAGACCTATACATAGGTCAAAGGTCAGATTATCTGTTTTGAACAATGGATGCCAACAATGGACAGAGAGCTAGGGGGGAGGAAGGGGACGACAACAAGGACAAGTTCAAGGAGGAAGAGTTGGAAGAGGTGGAGGAGGACGAGGGCAAAGACTTACTATTATGAAAAAAGTGTTTGCCATCTGATGCAAGTGCTTTATTTTGGGATGTGTTTATGGCATTTTGAAGGACATATGAGGCATTTTGCATTTTGGAATTGTGTGTAGAGTTTTGAAAAAAAGAGACAGTTTTGAAAACGTGTGTAAGCAGTTGTAAAAACCTGTCGACAGAGTGCGGTGCACTCTTGTTATAGGGAACTGGGACTGCTGTCACTGTTTTGTTGTTGTTTGTGTAATCTTGTCCACTGTGTTCCAGGTTTTGGCAGGCGGGACTGACAGATCGAATGGTAATCTCCCTCATGAACACAACATCACTGTGCTCCAACCTCAGGTAAGCGGATTCTACTGTCATTCACACTGTGAGTCTGTTTTGTGGCTCCTTGCACCACAGTGGGTCTAATTCAACCTGGGTTGAAGAATGGGAAACTAAAGATCAAGTTGGAAAATGTTGTAGAGTTACAGAGGACAACACCACTGTATATTAATATCATTCAAATGCTGAAGGTTATTGATCCTTCCCCTAGTCTTTGTTTTATGTTAGTGCTGTGACATTGGAGGGCAACGCTCTTCCAGAGCAGAGCTACCACCTTCTTCTCTCTGAAGACAGCAAGTGAGTGCCCAAGCAGTGGGAATGTCTCACATAGTGTTACAGAAATTGTTCAAATAAACCTTAATTTGCACTCTCACACTCTTGTGTGTTGTGTGTTTTTTGGTCAAGCCTCACACACTTGTCCCTGCGAAATAACCGGATAGGAGATGAAGTTGCTCGTGTAATTGGGACGGCTCTCTCAACGACCAGATCTGCCAATAAGAGCCTCATGTCACTCAACCTGGCATTCAATTCTATTGGTGATGCAGGTGCTTCACATATCGCACAGGTATAACCCAGAACTGATTGCATATTTCTGCCTATACGTTCCCCTCATGGCCACTGAGGTGTCCTGTTTTGTCTCTCAGGGCTGCGGTTGAATCGTGCATTGCTCTTTCTCTCACTCTCCAACAATCAGATTGGAGACTCCGGAGCTGCTCATCTAGCTGCGGTATCCATTTACATTAAATACTTTATCCTGGGAGATAATGCATTTAAATCAGTGGTTAAGTTGTTTTAAATTATATTCTGCTTATTGCATTATATAATTATGTAATTTAATAAGCCTCCATGGCTTAACCACTTCCATTTTCAGATACTAGGCGAGTTTGCTCTAACTCATGAAGAAGTTGTGGAGAGGAGAAAGCTGCTTCTGGAAAGAAAGCAGTCACCTTTTAGGGGCGATGCTGACCAGTCGCCTGCTGGCCATCTTACCTCAGGTCCCAGTAGCACTTCACTGAGCAAAGGCACCTCCAAAAAAAAGGTCACATGCAAAAGTGAAACTATAGTGTAACTGCAATGTCATCTGTGGTTTGTAAATCCTGTGGCAGGTAATCTTGAGATATTTTTACAACAGGAAGCATCAAAAAAAGACGAGAAACCAGCTGCCAACACAGAGAACCCAAAGTCTAACAAGAAATGTAATTGCTTCTGTTACAAAAACAAACTTGTTTTTTTTATCCTCTACTAGCAGGAGGGGTTATGTTTTTATTGTTTTCTATTTAAATCTCTCCTAGCCTCTGATATAAAGGTGCCTCAAAGTAAAGGTGGAAAGCTGGGAGGCAAGGAGAAACCACTATCTGCACAGGAGGTACCAGAACAATGCCTACTAATTCTGTGTACCATGTGGATATAAACATGCAGATATTGCTTTAAATCATTTAGTTGACTTTACTTTTTTTTCCTGCAGGATAAATCAATTACTACCCCGAATGAGGTTTGTTTGATGCATTTTTCTGTTCTGAGTGATTAATAAGATTTGAACATAAGCTGCCACGTGCTTGTTTACTTCTCTCCTTCTCCACCTGCAGGAAGAGGCGGTGGAAATAGTGAACCCCCTGCTGGACCAGTCAGTGCAGCACAGGGATGGTGAGATTTTTCTGCCTGGGAACAGGACTCTCACCTCCCTTAACCTTGCAGGTCAGTAACTGTGGCCTGTGTTCATCTCAGCTTGACAGAAAAATCAAACCCAGAAACCTTCCACACTAAGGTATTTCCAGCACAGTTAGGTTATGATTGATCAATTTTGGAGTGAGTTTCTCAGAATCAATGTGCAAATGTTTTTTTTACTTTTTTACTGTATGCTTAGAGAAGTGCTCTGTATATAATCTTACCTTTTTATTGTCATTTGTTTAGAAAAAAGATACAAACGAAATTAAATTCGGAGTTATTTGTTATTTATAGGTCGCATTAAATTAATAAAATCAGTATTTATTCACTGGTCACTAATTAGCAGCTACTTCCTCAGGACTCTGCACAAAATAAAAAAACTAAACCTTATAAGGACTATTAAAGATGTATATAACATGGTTATATTGTGTGTGTTTGTATAGGAAACAGAATTACAGAGAAGTCGCTGCCTCTGTTCCTGAAGTCACTAGAGATGCAGGGTGAGGGAGGAGGCCTGCTGCGTCTCTGTCTGCAGGTGTGCTTCACTTACAGTTGATTCTGGCCAACTGTGTGTGTGTGTGTGTGTGTGTGTGTGTGTGAGAGAGAGAGAGAGACTGCTTATTTTCATATCAGCATAAATCTGTTTACAGAGTCACATTATGGGGACTCTTGGGGACAAAACGCATAAAAAATGTAAATCAGTACAAGTGAAAACCTGGTTTAAGGTTAGGGTATGGTTAGCATTAGGCAAGTAGTAGTTAGGGTAATTATCCAGGAAATGAACATCAACATAATTTCCTTTGAAGTGATGCCAATTCACACACTGTGTGAATTGGCATCTGGATACAATTAACTTTAGTTCATAACATAAATTTAATAAGAGGTTAATTGTTAAAGCTAGAAAAATTACATTTGTGTACTTTTGATTAAATTATTTAACAGTTGCAGAGGAATATGAATATTTGTATGATAATTTCTGATCTCATTTTCAGAGAAACCACTTCCCACCAGAGTGTGAGTGCTATGTGAAGATAAAGGAACTGATGACACTCACAGATCCAGTCGAAAAAAATAGCTCTGAGCAGACAGAAGAGGAAGGACATGGGGCATAGTGCTGAGAGAACTGGCACCTACTTCTGCAGACTTCTACTGTAACTTTTGATTTGAGATATAACAATAAAAGTTCATATACATTGGCTTATATATTTTGTCCACTGTTTTTATAAAGCATGAGATGAACAAATGGAAACACTAATAGTCTTGTGGTCCAATAAAAGGCAGTTTCTGAACAGTAGGGCAGTGTAGCACATTAGATCCAGATGCTTTGCCCAGGACAGCTAATCAGACCATAACAGATCAGTTTTACTGCTTTGATTTCTCATGGTCAGAATTTACACCAAGGACAAAGACTGAGAACAGCCAAATACCAAGTACTAAATCTAGATGCACCATTGCTCTCATATCTCACAGTTGTAAGCCAGTGTGACAGGAAACACTCAAGGATTTATCTACCACAGACTTCACCAGTTTTTGAAATTTAGTTGGTGTTTTAAGCGTCTGTGTCAAGAGTCTTCTCCTTAAGAAAACAAGGAAGGAATTGTAGCACAGAGAGAGAGCTTCATTTGTCTATTTCAGGCTGCTGAAGCCTATTATTAACTTCAGGTGAACTGTAGAAACGATTTTTCCATTGAACTATATTTTGTCCCCTACCTCTATCAATGGAGTTGCTTCAATGCCGTTATGGACAGGGGAAAGAATTATATTGAACCAGAACTCTGTCTGTATTAAGAGAGACTTAAAAATATCGGAACGTATCTTTGTGGTTAATCTCTGTTACATATGGTATCTGATACTGAGGGTAAGGTTTGGCAGCTTCTTGGGGCCCTGAAGTGCCACCAGGGGGCCCTTAAAAGAAATTAAAATACTGGCATGATCTCTTAGGTTCCACAGTTTATTGTTTGTTTTCATTTACAAGCATACAAATATACTCTTAAAGAGGATATAGCCTAATAATTTGGAGTGTGATAATACATTTGGGATTGTCATAACAAAATCAAAGAGTGAAGGCTATCTTAAAGTTATAATATTCTGTATTCCAAATGTACTTTCTTATTTATAGTTTTCATAGAAACATAAGTTTTATTTTTGTCAAAATAGTAATTGTGCATATTTGGACATTGGGTAGAAAATATGTAAAAGTTTGCGTGGTCGAGGGAGCAGGGTGGAGTTTGGACCTCACCAAAATGGCCGCCACGTCGTGTAAAATTCGTCACGTCCGGCTCGTGCTCAAAGGAACAACCGATATGAACCCCTCGCTTCCGGTAATGCCTCCTTTTCGGCAGCGGCTATTTCCTCGCCAACATGCCAGTGAGTATCGAGAGGCCATTAGAAAATGACATTTTCACCCTTTAATCGAGTGTTGCAGAGCCGCCACGCAGCTCATTATTTACCTAAGACATTAGCGATTCGACAGTTGTCAGTTTTAGATGCTTTCGTTGAGTTTTGGTCCCAGTTTTACACAAATAAGTGTGCATTTGAGCGCATTGTGACACAAGATGGCGGCGCACACACCGCAAACATGGAGCCAGTTCAACGGAGGATCTGAACGGTCTGATAGCCCAGAGAACATAATATTAACAGCCGCGGTTTGGTTTTGATCTGTGTTAAATGCTGACTATGTTACTTTACCACTGATTCCCGATTATTTGAAGAATCACGCGCGATTGATCGAAATGCGTAGCCTGCGTTACCTAATCCATGTAGGCCAGCCGAGTAGCCTTATCGTACAAACGCAGCACTCATTTAGCAGATCAAAACGATGTCACCAGTTAACCTGTGTGCTTTTAAGCAAGGTGCTATATTTAAATGACCACGATCTGAGTTCTATCATGTCACTGGGACAGCCGGTGCGTTATCCTCAATATTGGTTGTAATTGATCAATCAGATGGTATCTTTCTGATCACTAACCTCATGTCCCCCCTTTTTTTAAAATAATAATAATAATAATCCAGCTCGCAAAAGACTTGTTGCACCCATCCCCTGAGGAGGAAAAGAGGAGGCACAAGAAGAAGCGTCTTGTTCAGAGTCCCAACTCTTACTTCATGGATGTGAAATGTCCAGGTACTGGTTTTCTACATCAAAATGTACCTACGTTCTGTCACTTGGCATAGTTTGTTTATTCACCTCACCTCAGCTGAACTTGGTAACAGTGGGTTTTCATGTCAAGAGCTGTAACCACCAGTGTCTTGTCTCTTTTTCTAGGATGCTACAAGATCACGACAGTGTTCAGCCACGCTCAGACAGTCGTGCTGTGCGTGGGCTGTTCAACAGTCCTGTGTCAGCCCACTGGAGGCAAAGCACGTCTCACAGAGGGTCAGTATTAACCTACAATATGGTGCTGCATGTTTGTCTGTTTTTTCTTGAGTCAGGCCACATGCACGCCATTTCTCAGTAACTGAAATGTGGTATATCTTATAGGAATCCAAAATGTTTGTTCACTAATGTGTGCAATATTTAGTTATTGATGCGAGGGTCCTTCTTGGACAGCAAGTTACTGATGTTTGAGGACCATCCTTGTACATAATCCTTCTCACTGAGAGCTTTCAAGAATTGGTTGAAAACTGGATACAGTTTTGTAGCATGAGCTCAAAATATTTTTTGCCTTATCTGTAGATGACTGAAATTTCATTCATCATATGAATGAATATGCAGCACATTACCAAATGCTACAACTTAGTGCATGACAGCCAGTTAGGACCCTGTTTAGAGCCATTTTACACTTTTGTGTTCACAATCTTACACCAGCCATTTATTTAACATAGCTTAAATTGACCTGATTGTTGGTGTTTAGATGGTGCTTCATACGTGAAAGGGATTATTGTTGTTATGCATGAATTTGTTCATGTGACACATTTTGAAGCCGCACTGCCAAGTGACTGGACTTCCTCTATCGTGGTCTTCCAATCTCATTCCAGTGCTAGATTGACCTCAGTTTGCAGAAGGGTTGAGCTAGACCACTGGCTCCCCCCTTTCGAAGGCTGAGAACAAAAATATATACTGTATAGTAAATTTCTGATACTACTGGTATTGTTAGTATTATGTACCTTGTTTAATCCCCATAATTTTAGTCAGTTTTGCTGTCGATGCTTCCACTTCTGAGCCTGATGTTGCATTAGTGCCACTTCTTTCCTCGCACAATAAATGTAAAGTAAGGTGGTAGAGGGAGATGTTGACCTAAATCAGTCACATGGTGGAAAACGATGACTTGTATAAGCACTGTGTAGAACAATAGATGTGTGCACTGCCTGCAGTATTTCTGTACAATAAGGCTTCTCTTTTGTCAGCATCAGTCTGACTGTCATTGTCTCCTCTGGCAGGGTGCTCATTCAGGAGGAAGCAGCACTAGCTGTTGTTCCCTGGAGCTGAAGGGGAGAGGAGGGGATGGACCGGTTGATATCAGCTCTAATGCCCCAGAGACGGCGGCAGACCCTGCGGTCTGATCTGAGACGAGACTTGAAGACGGACTGGACAGCAGATGGACTGGACAGCAGATGAATTTCCACTGTTCATGTCGACAGATCGGTTGTTGCTGTAACTCCACCCTCCAACCCTGTCTCTCTTAATAAAATATTGTTTTGGCTAGTGGACTGGTTAGTGTGTGGTTATTTTCCTGTTTCGAGGAAAGGATTGTGTAAGGATCCATCATACATAAAACAAAGGCAATAGTCATCATTTTTATTAGAAAGTACTACAGGATATCTGCATGTAGGTTTACATCTTTATATTATAATAAAACTATTTAAATGCAGTTTTTATTGTCAGAAAATTGCAGTTCTCACAGGGATAACGACTGACATTGGGAGTGATGATGGTAAGGGCTTACAATTATATTCATTATCAATGTGATTAGATAATCAATCAGTTATCAGATGGTCTGTAAGACGTGGGGGGGGGGGAATGCCCATCACAATATCTTAAAACAGGTTATTTTTTCTGGCAGTCCAAAACCCCAACAAAACTGAATATTTGGCATTTCTGCTTGACAAAAATCCTTAAACAATTGGTCGTAATAGTTAAAGATGGGACAAATAAAAAAACTGAATAAATGTGGAGAAACATCAAATGCTGTACACCAGGCTTCCCTGAACGATTTGGTGAGTGTGAATTTTTTTTATTTTTTAGTCACCAGATTTCAACCTAGTTTTACACCTATAAGAAAAGAAAGACTGCTCTCTAATAACATCTACATAAACTTTCATCTTTAAATCTATTTAGTGACTGTCTGTGATATGTCCATTTGTTACGTCTAGCAATGCTTGTTTGCTGTACTCTGGTCTCTTACAAAATATATCTTGATCTCAATGAGAATACCTGATTACATAAAGGTTGTATACATTATATAAATAAGGGAATATCTTGTGGAGGAATAGTGTTCATGATGAGTGCTCATGATAACGTGACTCAATACTGAGACACTTCACCCATCTGTATTTTCTCAGTCGACTAATCATTGCAGCTCTGGTATAATCAAATGTTCACAAATCATTGGCATGTTGTTATTTTCTGTCACTACAGGAGAGATACAAAAATCCTTCATATGAAGTGAATAATGACTAATTTCTACTTTTTGGTTTTATGGTATTTTCTCTACACAAAGCCGTTTCTATTAATACAATTTTACATACTTCTGGACAGCCTACACCTTGTAATTAACACCTATCTGTCCAACTCTGTAAGAAAAATGTCCCAAAATGATCATTTCAGCTGCATTATAGACAGAAATCTCCAGGAGTACCTGAGAAGCCTTTATTTCTCCCCATCACCTCCCTCAGCCTCTCTCTACCTGTCTACACTCGCACTCGCAGTCTCTGTCTTCACCTCCCTCTCCCTGAGCAGGTGGCGGATGGAGGAGTTCTGCGTGGATAGGGTGTTGGAGAGGAGCGGCATCAGGCTCTTGAAGCCCTCCCTCAGCTCTTCCACATGCTTCTCCAGTATGTGAATGTGTGTGTCCAGTTCCCCCCTGCAGCCTTGCACCTCCGACAGCACGTCATACATCATGTTCTGCATCTGTGTTGGTGGTCAGTGCCAACAGTGGTGCGTGAAGGTCCATGCAGAGAAAGAAAGGGCATCAGGGAAAATTAGATGAAACTTTTTGAGGCTCTGACAAGATGCAATATGAAATGATGCATTCACTTGCCTCTCTCACCTTGCAGAGGTCCACAAGTGTGTTGCCCTGGTCTGCAAGTATCCTCTTCTCTATCTTCACTCGCCGCAGCCTGGGAACAACATAATTTAGTTGTAGGTGCTAAAGGAGGTTTATATGACATTACCATATACACAAAGTGATACAAAGAGAAGTTTCACCCACATTACCAATATGGAACCCTTAAACACAACACACTGTCAACTGTTCACTATGTATAGAGACTTTGTTTTGCTAGAAGTGGATCAGGTTAACGGTGTCAGGTTCCTGGGATTCAGCATCACAGAGAATCTGTCTTGGTCAACTCACATCTCCATGTTGGTAAAGAAAGCTCAGAAACCCTTGTTTGACACTTAAAGGTTCAGTGTGTAAGATTTAGTGGCATCTAGCTGTGAGGTTGTGAATTGCAACGAACTTTCCAGTCTACCGCTGACTACACAGTTACACTTTCAAAGTGCGCAGGACAGCTACGGTGGCTTACACAGCACAAAAGGTGTCTATTCTGAGACAGCAGAGAGTAGCCAGTCAGGAAAATAGGTTTCTTTAAGTATATTTATTATGAAATTATATTTACTTAATTATTCAGTAAAACCATATGTTAATGATACTTGGCCACTGACAGATAACACTGACAGTGTGTAACAGGGACGTGCACAGGGGGGTTGCTCTGGTTGCCCGGGCAACTGCCCGTTTGCCTTTCCTGACTCAAGTTGCCCTTCCGACTCGCCCTTCCGAGAAAAAAAAATAAAATAAAAAAATAATCGCTATCGCAAAGCCTCATTCACTTCCATTCGGGCACCGAAAGTGAAAGTCAGTAGGGGAAGGGCAAACTCTGTTTAAGTGGCTGCACTGCTGCAGCGCTGCCTGCACGTCAGTCGATTCTGATCCCTACCGGAATTCCTGTTTCCTTCCTTTATGCAATCATACTACAACAAATCATGCGTAGTTTTGCCCAGTTACCATACGTGATACGTACCAACAGAAGTGAATACGAGCTAGAAGCGCAACTGAATGTACGGGAAGCCAAAAGGTTAAAAAAGGATTGTATTTTTTTCCGAAATCTAAGCGTTTTTTTTATTTAATATTTTATTAGAAGCGAGTTTTCCCCATCTGTCAATTCAATCTAGATTATTTATTTTCAAATAAAAAAAAAAAAGGAAAAAAAAAAATAATGATTAAAAAAAACAATAAACAATAATATAAGGAACTCTTTTTCTCATATGTATTTTGGTGACATTTATATTGTTAATACATTTTGGATACTGTGTTTAGTGCCTTTTTTCAGGTCAGAGCAACTGCCCTTCAAAATTCCTGTGCACGTCCCTGGTGTGTAACATTGTCACTGTTTCTCCACCACAGCATTATAAACCCCATAATAGATAAAGTTTATACAAACATTGACAAGGGAAACATGTTTACTTCTCTGTGATTATGTATCCTCGCCAAAACTGCCCACCAGCAATAATATCTGGCCCACAGCCAGATTTTGGTGCTTTGATAGCGGCAAAAAATAAAAATGAATAAATTCTTTGATAGCGGTGCTGAAATAGATCTCAGTCATGACAGCAACAGTTGCAACAGCCTGCCTGACACGCCTCTGAAGTAGCAGTCAGAGAACATGATTGCCCTAAATGTCCTCTGCCTGGAGATACTGGGGAAATGAAAAAGCATCTGTAGGTTAAGGATGCAGATCAAACACTGAAACACAAACACTGCAGCACATGCTGTAATGTGAGCTTAAGAAAGTCGCTGCAGAATCCATTTGTGGAAGAGAGAAAAAAAAATAATCCCGAGGTGGGATTAAACACACAACCCTTAAGGTGTGAGTCCTGCACTTTACCAGCTGAGCTAACCACACACCATGTCAATGGAAGTTAGTATTATGTGACCCCTGCTGTTCGGTGCATTCCAGTTGACATGGGAATTATTACTTCTTCTTCTTCATACGTACGTTTTCAACGTAGTGTTGAGTGTCTACACAGCCTGAAATCTACCAGAAGTAGAACAAGAAGAACTTAGTGACGAAATGCAATGAAACATGATGACACAACATTGCGACGTTCATGGAAGGGGGGACCCGCGGTTATGTAGATAAAAATGACTCATTCTGAGGTAATAAAAACACAACGGTTTATTATGTAAGATCTATATACACCACTGAAAACATAGTTATGTATCTTATATTGCACTTCTGTCGATAGATCTTCAGAAATATTACACACTGAACCTTTAAGCAAAATTCCTGTGCCACGTTTTTATTAGGAGCAATAGAGTATCCTGACGGGAAACATCACAAATTGGCATGGGATGTGCACGGCCCAAGACCAGAGGGCTCGAAGATTATTGGTACCATCTACCAAGCATCAGTGATATTGTTGAGATGAGGTACCTACGCAGAGCCCAAAGGATACAAAAAGACAGAACCCAGCCCAGCCACAGCCTGTTCACCCTGCTGCCGTCTGGCAAGAGAAACAAAAGTATCCACTGTTTTACCACCAGAGTTCAAAGCAGCTTCTTTCCCCAGGAAGTGAGACTCCTCAATTCATCCTTAGCTCTCCACCATGTTCAGTTTTATTTTCCAATTTTTGTAGGGAACCACAAATGTAATCTCATTATGTAACCCAGTGTTGTAAAATGACAAATAAATCTACCTTGTACCTTAATACACACTTATTTTCAAATGTCATTTAATTTTTTTTGACAAACACAAACTAATTTCCCATCATCTCCATTGTATTGGGTATCGTGCTGAATTAAAGCAAGCCTATGTAACTATAATGGCCACATAAGGAACAATTACGGAATGATGCTGAAAGTTAAAGAGTAAAATCTAATTTTAGCTACTGGTCATACCAGACCAACGATTTGTATGGGCTGTTATTGAATTATTGCAAAAAACTGAATTTGAATAGCATAATTTGAATTCATATTGTTTAACTTGAATAATTGTATTGAAAAACGGAATCTGAATAGCATAATATGAAATTGAATTTTAGATTTGAAACTGAATTGCAACAAACTTGAAACTGAATGTAATAATATGAATAGAAATTTAGTTGCAATTGAAACTGTATTTTAGCCTCGCTAAAAATTACACTCTTTATGTACTTTCAATGTCAGTTCTCTCAATTCAAATTTGCTTCTCTCAATTCAATTTCAATCCACAAGATTCAGTTTCAAGGTCAAAGACACTTCAGGGTCCTTCAGGAAGGGCAATCGAGTGCAGATCAAGCCTGTATTCTTTACAACAGCCATATATATAATACCCATAAGGTAGTCCCACCCTAAAGCATATCCTGTTTTATCGGCTATTTTCATCTATTTTCATATAATGAACATTATACTGATTTGAAAAGGACTCAGATCTGATGATTTAATTCATAAACTCATTAGGAAAGTGTTTACATACCTAATAAATCAAGTGGGAATCTTATTTTGCCATTATTTTAGATGGAAATGGGTTGATTGCTCTTCCCTGAAGTGTCTTTGACTTTGAAACTGAATCATGTGGATTGATATTGAAATGAGAAAAGTGAATTTGAATTAAAAGAACTGAAATTGAAAGTATATAAAGAGTTGAATTTTTAGTGAGGTTTAAATACAGTTTAAGTCGCAACTGAATTCAGTTTCATATTATTACATTCAGTTTCAAGTTTATTGGAATTCAGTTTCAAACTACTAAATTCAATTTCAAATTATGGTATTCAGATTCAGTTTTTCAATACAATTATTTAATTTAAACAATACAAATTCAAATTATGCTATTCAAATTCAGTTTTTTATGCAATTATTCAAGTGGAGCAATTCAGATCTAAATTATTCAAATTCAAATCCAGATTCTACTGACAGAAATATCAGCCCATAGAGATTTGTATCAAATCAGATTCTAAGCAGGTTTTTAGTTTACACACTGGAAAAGGGACAAAAAAGTATTCAAACCATTCAGCATGCAGACCAAATAAAGTCGATTTTTGAGTGTGTTGTGGATGGACACTATTTTCCCACAATGCATTGCACAAAGGAAATGGAAGGGCTGCTCACAGCAGGAAAAAATGTGGGTGGTGGTGAAACAGCAACACAAAATCTTGGACAACCAAACTAAAAAAGTATTAAATCTTAGGAAAAACACGTTGATGTCTTTTTGTGAATTTTAATCTGCGGTCATTTTCCAAAGTTTGAAACACATTTGACATCAAATGTATTGTATAATTTCCTTTTAGTATAAAATGGTAAACTATGTTGATATGTTTATATAGTAAAGTACATAATGCATATGTGATGCCCTGTGGGATCATGAGTGGGTGTGCGCTCTCTCTCTCTCTCTCTCTCTCTCTCTCTCTCTCTCTCTCTCTCTCTGTCTCTCTCTCCCTTGTAGCTCAAGAACTGATTATGTTAACTGAAAGCACCTGAGCCCCCTCTGTGTCTTGAGTGTAGGCTATTTGTAACCTTGTTCTCTCATTGTGCAGAAGGCTGCTGTCAAGACCAGGTCAGACCTTCCTGCGGCTGGCTCCCCGGTTTCTCCTTTAGTTTGGTTTTGGACTCTTACTTTGTGGTATTTATCTTGTTTTTGCATACTACAACACCTGCACACATATACACTCATGCAACCAACATCCTGCCCAGACACTACTGAAACAGACTACATCCCTCATACTTTGGTTATATTAGTTTGAAATACCCTTTTAAGTTTGCTTAACCTTGGTTTAAATAAACATATTTTGTTAAATGTTTACCATGGTGCGGCTCCCTTTTATTGTGGCCTTTAAGCCAGGTCATAACAGCATATAAGTGGTATGAAGTATGGATTTGGGACCTTTTCATTTGTATAAGAAATAATGTGTTATTTCTTACAATAAGTTATATAGTCTCACTTTGCATTGCTACATACTATACCTCTACAGGGGTAGATATGTTGTGATTTGGGTGGAATGGCACTGGTCATTAAATTTCATGAATTTATGGCACAAATTTTATCTTTAGTTTAGATTATTGCCCAGATTTGATAAAAAAAAAAAAAACACAATTTCCAATGCATTTAGTCATTTTCTGTTGAAAATGGGTATTGGGGTTGGCGATAATGTTTGGATCATTTAAAGTAAAATAATAAATGAATCAAAAATCGCTTGGAGAGAAGAGTGGGGTGTTCATGTTTATTTTGACATACTGGCACTGCATAACCAGGATGTAAAACCATCCATCCATTCATCGTCAAGCGCTTATCCTGTGTACAGAGTCACAGGGGGGTGGAGCCAATCCCAGCTGACATCGGGCAAAAGGTGGGGTACACCCTGGACAGGTCACCAGTCCATTGCAGGGCCACACATAGACAAACAACCACTCACACCTAAAGGCAATTTTAGAGACACCACTTAACCTAGCCTGCATGTCTTCAGATGGTGAGAGGAAGCCAGAGAATCCACACAGATACAGGGAGAACATGCAAACTCCATACAGAAACCTGGGTTTGAACCTACAACCTTCTTGCTGTGAGGCAACAGTGCTAACCGCTGCACCACCGTGCAGAACGATGCCATCTAATATGAAAATAAAAGTACTAATGTGAGAAAGCTTCCTTGTACTGTAACCTGTGCAGAAGCAGCTTTGCATGAGGGTTAAGTGTCTTACTGGTGGATGGCCAGAAGCAGCTTTCTCTGGTGCATTCGGACTCTGGTGTGGTCTCTTTCTCTTGACAGCTTAGTATGTTTGTAGATAAGCCAAGTCTCTCTCAGCACATTTGCTGCAGCAATTTTTATCTAGAGAAAGGATGTAGAAAATCCCTCTGGAGCATTATTACATGTTTGTGCACATAATGCAAAAGCACTGTTATGGACTGCACATGCTGAATAACACCAACATGAAGTATGTAACCCAGTGTCCTACAGTCATTTTGTCTTACACTCAACTTTTTCTTAAAACAAGAGAAAAGAAATCTGTTTCTGGGGTGAGATAGTTAGTGTCTAGTGTCGGCTGTTCTTAGGCTTTTTCTATAAATGTTTACAGTCATACGATCAATACAGTATCAACAACATAACATGCTGCTGGAATATTCTGTAAAGAATTTGTATGAATTTGTACTGAAGATTGTTTTTACAGTACACACAAATATGTTGTATCTGATGTGTGCTGGCATAAAAACTGCACTTTGTAAGCTGTCATGGTGTACAATACAACAAAAACAAAATGAAAACTCGCTGACAACAAGTCGTAGTCTGTGCAGAATCTCTCTTACTTTTAGGCCTATTTATTTAACATTAATATACAAAATGAAGCCACACTGAGGTAGATACTAGTATTTACCCTCTTGGAGATGTGGGAGTCCATCATGAAGTTGTGAACATGTTTCTCTGCTCTGGTCAACTCCAGCTTCCTGGCAACCACCGCCACCACCAGGACTGTGCAGCCTGCTCCCTGTGAGAGTCACAATTTAGACATTTTTATTAGTCAGAATCTGAACTAATCTGACTTCCACATGTTGTATAGGAAACTATGAAATCTTCTGTCCCACCATTATCCCAGTGAGGAGACAGATGCTGCGACCACAGTAGGTATGAGGCACCACGTCTCCATAACCGATGGATAAGAAGGTGACAGAGACCATCCACAAGGCCTCCATGTAGTTGCTGCTCAGGTCTCTGTAGTTGTGGTGTCTGAAGGAATGAGAAAGGACTCATATTTTCTCTCTGGCACAGTGTTGGGAATGTATAGCCATCAGATAAATCAATGTTATATTGATATTGGGTCTTTTCAGGTCTTAAATTGTGCTTTACTGAACTTTCCTCTCCCCCACTCCTAGTTTCTGCTGTATTAAAAACACCAATATTCATCCAAAAAACTCTTACATTATCAACATCAATTCAAGATTATGTAATATTTGATCGTGTGTCATCCAGCAAGTACAGATATAGCACAGCAGAGTGAAAATATGGTTGGTTGCTGCAGTAAAGTAATTCTACTGTAGATGTCTGACAACATTTGGATGATAATTAAATATTAAATATATAGGCCTTGAGCACGCTGGATTCAGCGGTAGACCAACATATCATCACATACCTCTCACAAACATGTAAGCCCCACGCTGCCACAATCCACAGAGAGACGCTGAAAATCATCAGCACAGTCCCGGGGTAGGTGGTCATCAGCGTTTTCCCCACAAACCGGGTGTTGAAGTGTATCTGAAGATCACAAATGGGATGCATTTACACCATCATCATTTTGACAGTAGGGTCCTACTTAGCCAGACTATTTAGGATAGCACCTGTCAGATTATGATTATATAATGCAGTGGAGATGAGGGATAAGAAAACTTGTTCTCAATCTGGCTTGATACATGGATAGTAGGTTTGGCATTGCAGAGTGGAGACAAAGGTCATTTTCGTCACTCTTAAATAGCATTTATAAGGGAAGGGATTAGCCGGGTGGATATTATCAACTGTGGAAATGAAAACACAAGCAAAGGGGAGCAAGCAAGGGGCATAATCAGCATGTGAAACCACTGGGATTCATGGGAGCAAAACTGTGATAGTCAGACCTCAAGATTCAAACCTCTACAGACCCCTCGGCCCACCTATAAGACATAAACAGATGAGCGTGAAATGTTCATAGAGGATGTCCAGCCCAAATCACTGTCCAAAATATAGACTAATATTCAATTTAAAATCCTATCAAAATTGACATTGCAAAGCCTCAAATTTCACTCTTCTCTTTAATTCAAAGGTGTAATGATCATCACAGTACTATCCAAGCCAGTTAAGCCCAAAGCCAGGGGATTCTGAGGGGAGCACACAGGTGACCTCCGACCTTGTTGAGTGCTCCAATACTGCGAGATGCGGTGTCAGTAAAGAGGCGGCTGTGTAGCATCATGGCCCGGCCCAGCAGGTAGAGCCGCAGGAACATGGGCAGAGCCAGGATGATTTCCAGCTCTGTCTCTGACAGCGACAGGCGACCCGGGGTGTGCTGGAAGGTCTGCTGGAAGTACGCAACCAGACCCACTGGATAGGGGTGAATGGCCACTGCTGCCAACTCCAGGGCTACCAGAGCCAGACGGTCGGTTGTCATTGCAATCCGCCAATCCTCTGCACCAATATCGTGAACGTAGAGCTACCAGAGAGGTGGAAAGAGCTTATTGTAGCTAAAATCAGCATCTAATCTGGGGATAAAAGATGATTAAATGGGAAATGGCACCGATATTACACAACATATTCTGTATAGAGGTGTTGGGGGTTCTACATATGTCAAAAAAGGTCTATATAGCCTTTTGTGGCTCCAGAGAAAGCTGCGCAAAGTTTGATAAATTGCCTCAAGTGATGTCACTTATGTCAGTGTCATTTGGGGCTGAAGACTACAGATTTGAAAAAGAAAATAAATCTGTGGGTGTGGAGTAATCAAGAAAAGAGTTTACCAGACCTATGTAGTCTGCTCCCCGTTTCTGCTAGAGGCTAGCATCGAGGCTACATTCACTGCTACTAGAATACAACAGCCTAATCTCTGACTCAGCCCTTGGCGGTCGAGGTACATTGTGGGTAATTTAAGTGCCAGGTTTTGACAAGAAAGAAGAACTAGTGGAATAAAAAAATATTCTGGTTTTGCTGCATTCATTCTGATACCCTTTTTGTACTGCCCTTCGTGGGTCAGTGGGTCTGACAATGTTAAAAGACTGCAATGCTAAATCAGTAGAGTAAACAGTGGTGGAAAATGAAGCACATTTATGTACTATGTTTGAGTACAATTTTCAGGTATTTGACTTCAGTATTTCAATTGGGTACAGCTTTATACTTTTGCTCCAATACATTTCAGAAGGGAAATGTACTTTATCTGATAGCTGGAGTTACTAGTTACTTACAGATTACAGATTTTACAAACAAAAAATATGATGAATTTATAAAATATGAAACTGTGGTACAGATTCAACCATTCAACACCAACAGTAAATGCAGTAGTTAAAATGTTTTTCACAATCCTTAAAAAGCAGCTTACACAGTTTGTGTGATTATGAACAGCCAAGTTACCTGCACCTCACAGCAGTGGTACGCTATGATGAGGCCCAACAGGATAATTGTAGAGAAACTGATGATGGATTTGAGTGTGAGGGAGTAGATAGAGCTCTGTGGGAGACACACACACACACACACACACACACACACACACACACACACACACACACACACACACACACACACAAACATCATTGTCAGCTGATGGCTGATTGTCATTACAATGCTCCATCTATGAAATGGCACCAAATGATCTTGTGTAGTCTTTTAATCTTCCATACATTTAGATAATCCACTTGCTTGATACAATGACCACTGACCACTGTATCCGGCAGTTTGCAGTTGGCAGGAGCTCAATTCTTATATTGACAGATTTTCTAATACTGTGTGATTATAAAGGTCATGACCGCGTTTGTGGGGACGGTGAAGTAAAAAAACGCAAATAAATAACAAAATAACAAATGGAGTAAAAGGTGTGCTATTTAATTATACAAAATGTGATTTCTCAGGCAGTAAAGCTTTGAAAAATCTAGCGATAGGCTCTTTCCTGAAAAGCTAATAACTGCACTTGCCCGCATATGATTTCTTTTCTTTAAAAATCTTTTTTTAACTCTTGCAAAACATTTACAGCCCCTATTTCCATTCACATTTCTCAAAGGATTTCTCAGGGTCTCAGTCTGGGTTTCCCCTACTTCTGACCTTGCTGTAGACGCTCCAGGAGAGCTCTGTCTCCGTCACCATCAGGACCACCCCGAATATCCCAACCGCCAGGGCGCAGTCGTTCAGCCGCTGCCTCCTCAAAAACAGAGCCCTCCTGTGTACCAGTCGCCAGCCGATGTTGTGGGTCTTCCAGTATGGGTCGTCCTTGGCGTCCACTTTTTTTGGGCTGGGATGGGAACCGGAACTGGAACTGGGAATGGGGCTCGGACTGGGATGCTCGGCTCCTGGCAGCAGGCCTTTGGCCTCAGACAAGTCCTGGTGATACTGGGACTTATCATTTTGTGGCCGTAAGTCATCATCTTTACTGGTGATGATGATCTCTGGGAGACTCTGGCGATCGTGCATTTCCAAAGAAACGTTGGCTGACTTGCGGCGCCCTCTGCCCTCCTTGATGTCTATGTGTGACCTGCGGGGGCTCTTAAAGGGTGACTCGCAGGGAGACACAGGGATGTCAGTGAAAGAGGTAACTTTCTCCTGAAGTCTGTGAGCTCCTGCGTTTCTGGCTTTGCACTGGTGATTATGCTCCTTGCGTGCTGGATTTTGTCTACTCCCCCCAGACCTTTTCTCACATTTCTTATCTTTGCCTTTGTCTCCCCTCCTGTTGGAGTGTGGTGAAGGTGTCACATAAAGGTGGCCGTTGTATAAAGGTGTGGTGGCCATGGCCTGGGTTCTGTCCAGCCACACGGTGTGATCAGCTGATGTTTGGATGTTTTGGTGTATCCCACATTGCGGAGAGCAGGCCTGAGGTGGAGGGACCATGCGTGGTGGGAGGAGTGGCCGCTGGTCCTCCACCTCATCTCCATCCACCACTGACAAGCTCATAGACGGGGAGTGCTCCATGGTGAGAGGGTTTATGAGTGAATCTTTTTGAGAGGTTTGAACACAGAAGGCGTGGGAGAGACAGATGGCGATATGAGACAAGACATTTAAACAGCATTGTTAAGGAAAACTACAACTACGGGAAAGATTCACTCATTAGTAATCATCAGACAATATTTTAAGTTTTTCCTACCTGTTAAGTTTGCTCATGCTCATTTTTATTTAGAATATTTTTTTCTATTTAGCTGTCAGTGATATGATTTGAAAATGATGCAAAATCTTTTTACTTCATATATTTGCCCAATAACAAAGGTTTGTTTTAATACACAGTAATCAAGGTTTAGTCACCAACTTCAATGGAGTGCAAACTTAAAAAAAACTTTTAATTCTTACCTTTTCACTCAAGGTTTAGTATTTATATATTCAGTCTTCTTATGGTCCTGAAGGTCACAACTGCCTGAATCACAAAGACACCCTCCTAGTAAAATCCTGATGCAACTTGGACTCAAATGTGCCACTTTCATTAAGAAGACATTCAAAACATATGAAAAAAAACAGTAAAAAGTAAATCAAGCTGCAACGCCAATCAGCTCCGGTGTGATCAGATCAAAATATTCCGAATGTCCTCGCTCTGCATGTATGAACTTTCCAGCAATCCATTTGCAGCTTCAGCAACACGGAGCCCCTCCCATAGATTCAAGCAGACGTTATGTTATGTTATGAACTTGTCCTGCATGTGACGACATACGAAGTAAATACCCATGGATATCTTTTGCTTTTTCAGGCCCTTGTTTGGCCGTATTTGATTCTCCACCACCAGGGCATCTTCCTTAAAGCTGGAGGGGCTTAATGACCGCAAAGACTCTAAGTTGCAGATGTTGCATGGAGCGAAAGCAAAGAATGAGTCATCTGTCATCTGAGTTTTTTTAGCCGGGGATTGGCAGATTTCCTCCTCCCTATATGTGTGCGTGTGTGTGTGTGTGTGTGTGTGGGGGGGGTGTATTTGCTTATACATGGGTCCCCTGGTGTCATAGCCTGATAAGAAATGCTGTTATATCACTTTTCATTTATAACTTTATCAATCAGTGTCATTATTACCATGGGAAAATTCCAAGTGGGATATAAATATTGTTTTTAAATAAATCTAACCTTCAAAAGAGAATAATGGTCCTCAATATCAATTCAGCAGATTAGTATTGCAGATTAATCAAGTGAGCTTGTGAGCTTATGAAATAGCAAATATGTCACCCCTTAACCGAACAATATGCATAGAGCTTGGTGGAGTATTAAGCATTAAAGTCATAACAATGACATTCAGCATCATTTATTCATCTAAATCCTTGTGACAGATGGGTCTACAGATAATAGAGCTCCCTCCAAATGGAAAGACCTAAGGAGCAAAGGGTGGCAGAGCACATCCGGATAGTAGCAGGATAAAGAAAGGCATTATCTAATCTGAAGACAACATGTATTTAAAGATAGACAGAGGGAGAAGGGGGGATTGACTGTGCACAGGTGGGAGAGGAACAACATGGTGGTAGTCGAATCAGAGAGTCAGATTTTAACTTCCTCAGACATCCCTCCAGATGTGTAGATGAATTATGCTAAAATTTCTTTGTGCTACTCTGAGACATAGCCAGATGCCGCTGTCTGGATGTTTTGACAGTGTGCAGGCACAGAGACAAAAACGGCCTGCCCCTCAGTGCATGACTGTCAACACCAAATGTGGACACTCTCTCTCATCCTTGCAGAGAACTTTCCTAAAATATGCCTATTTAGTTTAAATAGTCATCAAAACTGGAGCAGGACTCGCTCTGCTGTGGTGATGGAGAGTGTGAACGTTCTTAAATGATGTTGTCCTTTTAATAATAAGATGCTGAAAGGATGTATGTACATCTGCAAGGCTTCAAATTAAAGCAAGCCTGTAGCCAAGTGCTTGTAAATCCTGGCTGCTGTAGCTGGTAGCTAAGCATGTCAATCTGTCTTGTCTCTGTGGCCTGTTGCCAGCGTGTCTTCAATTAGTCTCTTTTATTGCAAATCATCCTTTGGCTACTAAGAAAGTGAAATTAAACTTGGATATTGTGAGTCCACTAATTGCTGTGGCTGAATCTTTAGTGAGTGCCAGTTCATCTTCAGGATATTAATTGCTTCAGTCTGATCTGTGGGGATGCATTGGTCAAAAGATAAAGAAGTCCCATAAGGATGCAAACAGCAGTAAGTAAATTTTGTGTTTTAAAGGTCAAATGTTACAACAAGGGGCTAAAGGAATAGTTTGACATTTTTGCTCATTTGCTCTCTTGCCGAGAGTTAGTTCCCATCTGTCTTTATCACCAGTTTGTGCTCCTCATGCATAACCATTACATTTGAGTCACAAAGCTAAGCACTATTTTGAATGAAAATACAACATAATAGAAAGTACCATCAATATAGAAAAGAATATACAATTATAACTGATTATAAATGTGTTATATTTTGGTTCACGTTGTAGAAATTAAGCAAAGACATTCAAGCAACCATCTTTGTTTGGATTAGAAAACAGAGTCGCAATTTGGGAAACAGGTTAAAAATGTTTTTCAGCTGTGCAGCAAACAGGATTTTTTTCATCCACATGGCTAGAAGAATAAGAATTCTGGAAACAGCACAAAAACCAAGACCTTTTGGGTTTTTCAAAGATTTTCTTTTTTTTGTTTAAGAAAAACAGATGTTTAGCTCTGTGACTCACATGTAATGAAAATACACGAGTAGCACTTAGGCAAGTAGGGCTAACATGTCTGTCAAAGACGAAGTTTCAATTTCTCACATGCAGCAAGGTGCAGACCAATGTCAGCTTCAAAGCAAAAAATAAAAAAGAATCTTAAGAATTTAAATCTGTGGGGTAATCTTTTAAGATTTCACACCATAAAACTTTATTGGATAACAGTCCAGCTTTTGTCTAACTACTCTAGGGCTTGCTGCTGGGGCAGGATAGAAATGTCTATTAGAAGAGAACGTCAGCTACTCCACTCCATTCAAGACAAAAAAAAGGCCACTTTGACAAATCAGACGTCACAGGCGAGTGGATGTATGTGCTTGGTTTTGTCGATAACACCCTATTAGGTGGAGGGGACGTGTCAGCGCGGGAGAGGGCCTAATCCAATCAGCAGAGTAATTAAAAACACACAGCACAGCAGCCCTGATGGCTGATGGCTGCACTGTCTGGGGCGGCATTCAGCATTTAGCACAGAGAGGGATGAGCTGTAGTCATGCCAGGTCAGACTGACGGCCACCAGTACGGCTGTGCAATCACAATCAGGATCAACAAAATTACTATGCAGAGAGTGGCACTACTACAACCATACCATTGTCCACATGATGTTCAAAATCCCCATTCTCCTCCTCCAACTATCATCATCACTGATATGGCTTTAATCCACTCTCTGCTCAGTGTTTTCATTCATCTTTCTTTCATTCTTTCTTTCTAATTAGCCTTCTCTTTATAGCATTGGCCCTCGTCATCTTCTCCATTATATCTTATATAGTTCAGTTTCTTCCTTGTTAATTAACACCATCGTCTCCTCCCCTCAAAAGACACAACTCCTGCCAGTGTTGCTGAGCTCCAGCCAGAATGCAGTTGGAAAACAAACCACCAGATGTCACCCACGCCTCAGTGCCTCCAATTTGTATTTTTATGAAGCGTAATGAATTTTGTTTTTGGCACTGTGTCACACTGGTATTTGGTGCATAAGAGCAGAAGGATCGTCCCCCATCACCCCCCCCCCCGTTTTTTATTCACGAGATGAACTCAAAGTCAATTTTGCGCACATTAAAGCAGCAATATTGCAGGTATGCAGCAGCAACAGGATGCTTCTCCTCTGATAAAACATTGCTGAGGCACATTGTGTGTCCTCGCTCCACGCTTGGCGCAGTTTTGTCTGGTTTAACCGGTGACTTAGTCATCCTTCTATTCGCCTCCGAGGGCCACTCTCCATCCTCTGTGCGCAGCCGAGCATGAATCTGTAGCTCTGGATGTGTGACAGTCTGCCTAGGAGAGGGGTAATTCCGAAGGGCAGCAGAAGTAATAGGGTAATCTATTATACAGTCTAACTCTTTCTTCCTGCTCTCTTGCTCCCCCCTCCCCTGCTCACTCTCCCTTTCTCTCAGTCTTACGTTTCTCGCTGCCTCTGTCCTTGCATCAGCATTTCGTGAGGACAAATGAGAAGTAGAGTTTAACTATGCACATTCCCGTTGCCCTCCTGCAGAGCCCAGCACTTTCTCAATTAAACTGGAGTCCATCTGCCCCTATGATTCAAAGCTCACCCCCTGCTGAGTGGGGGAAGCTCTCTCTCTCTCTCTCTCACACACACACACACACACACACACAGAGTAGAGCTGGGCATGGTCATAACCTGTGTTATGTGTAACCAGCTGCCATGTATTTTTGACATATGTCACCAGCCATTAACACAAACAGTGGGAGATATGCAAAGGGAATGAAAGACAGGGAAATCTTATTAATGTTTTAAACAGTAATTCATCTTTTACAGCATTCCTTTTCACATTTTGCCGTTAAAATGCAGAGAAGTGATTTTTGTTTTCAGTTTGTTTTTAACAATGTGCCTGTTTTTTGTGTCGTTCAGTGCAGAGAAGTGTTTTAAATATGCGCAATTTGAGCACAAAAACAGGCACCTGAGTAGTTGTAAACCCAATTCTTTCCCCCTATCCTTTTGCCTTTTTTTGCCTGTTTATTTGCACTAATTGAGCATATTTAAAACACTTCTTTGCACTGAATGCCTCCCCTTCTTTTTGGGAAGCCTATGTTTCCACCTTTCTGTATGGATTCCTCTTCCATTGGTAAGGTCAACTCATAGACCAATTAAAACCTTGCCTTTCTCCACCCCTTGCTCTATCTTCAACCCTCTCACCCACATCACTGACATTTCTCTCTCCCGTGCTCTCCATTTTAGTCCCACCTCCCAGAGAGACAGAGAGACAGGGAGACAGAGAGCACACAGCCACCATCTCCTCCTCCTCCTCTTGCACTC